TAATATTATTAAAAAAAGCAACAAAAATCCCGAAACGACTTAGACAGGATGTTGCTGAGCTCCGTCGTTTACGTTCAAAAAGCTCATGGATAGTTCGTGTACTTTTCTCTTAGTGTTTTTGCCATTGCAATGCATTCCACTTTGATGTTGACTTCGTTTCTTCGCTATTTCTGATGTAAACACGCACTTCAATGCGGTAAAATATTGGTTTTTAAATTAAATTTCAATTTTTTTTTGTTCTCCGGTACTCTTTCTTTGCTCTCATGTCACATCGGACATTATCACATGGTACATGGCAAATCAAACTAGCACAAAGTTATAGTGTTCTTCGATGCACGGGAGAATATATATACATCACATCCATACAATATCAAGACAAATTTTCAACGAAACAATGAAAACGAAGAAAAGAGGAAGAAGCAGAAGTAGAAGCAGAAGTTGTACGAAAGTTTTGCAACGAATCATGGATCTAAAACCACATCGAAAATCACAAAGAAACTAAAGTTTTTTGTGTGTCGGTCGAAAGTGCAGGCTGAAAAACGTGTTGCATGCGCACCCCCAAAAACTATATACAACAAACTTAATATGAACGAAATTGATGAGGGAAAACTCAGTGAAGCATATGTTATAGAATTTGTGTGCTTGCTCGCAATGTGTTTGTGTGAAGCAGCTGACAGTTGTTTTTGTTTCATTGGTTTTTGGTGTTGTTTGGCTGTGTCTGACTATGGTGTTTTCCGTTTCTCCATTTTGCACTAGTTTGCCAACAGCAGAGGTAGCTGGTCGAATTAAGAGCTGCAGCAACATTTTGTGTTTTCAAACAGTGCGGAGAGATTCACACAAACTTTATCGGACTTTTCAACACAACATTTCTATATTCGTGACTCAATTGCAAAAGCAACGCTTTGAATGATCAATTTAAAATGTTTCATTCGAGCATCGTCATAACGATAACATTTATTAAAGCATTTCCAGGCCACACTCAAAACTCAATTTTGTTTGCGTTCGACCAGAAAAACGAATTAAAGCTATATCATAAAGCTCATTAAGTACGTTTCCTTCTCGTAAATCATCATTCATGAAAATGTAAAATACTCTGAACAAAATTTCATCGAAAATTTATTCCATCAACATACGAACTCTTGTAAATTAAATTAAACTACACTCTGAGGTGAACCGCTTTTTTTAAAATGTCAGTTGAGCATATTCAAGGTAAAATAGAATGTAGGGAATCTTTTTTCTTTATTCAAATCAAATTCCATTGTAGAAAAAGTGTCTATCGTTTATATTTTCTGTTGCATTCTTGTGCGGAATAAAAACATTTTTTTGTGCACACTCAAACATAAATTACCTTCCTATTAAGGAATCGAAGAAGTCGGGTGGAAATGTTCATTGCATTTCATGCAAGTGAATTTCTCTCTTAAAGAGTGTTTTGAAAAAGCGGCACCACTTGAAACGCAATCGAAATGGAATAATACAAACTGAAAGCATTTTCGTTTGCAAATGAACGTGATGGTGGCTCTGGCTGTGGTGGTAATGCTGGCGGCAGCGGTGAGAGCAAGAGAGAGAGCACGGCAGAGAAACAAGAACGTTAAGCATGAATGCAAACTACAAAAATGTAAAAGTAAAGAGCAAGCAACGCGCTATGACAAATTGTGCCATGAGTTTGCTCATTGAGTAAGCAACAAGACTGGAAAATGAGATGAGAAATTATGTTTTTTAAATTGGTTGAATACTTCGAAATGGAGCTCATCAAAATGCCTTCTTATGACGCAGAAAAAAAAGAATTGCTTCAATCTCGTTCATTTCGACTACCTTAATGAGAACATTTTCCAATTCGCGAAAGGAGTTTTTTCTTATTTTCGATAAGATGTTTGGCTAATAAGCAAACTTTTAACAGCCCGATTATCATAAACAGATGATAAAAAAAAGAAAACATTTTCAAACATATTCAATTCAGTATTTATTTAATCTTGTGCATTTTCAAAGTGCATTCGATCGATGATCCGTAAATAATCTGCTTATAAGTTTTCACATTGTAATGATCCTGACTGAAAATTAATTTTCCTGGAATTAAAGTTGAAAAAATTATAGTGATTTCGTATGCATCAATGCTGTTCAACTCTTGCATTTAAATATGTCTTGAACATTGTTCAGGCGTACACATTTTGTACGATCGAATGGTTGAAAACAGCCTCTGGCGTTACATGGATGGTATTGTTGGTTTGTTGTGTTCCATTTTGGTTTAATTGCATTAGTTTTCGTACTTACTTTAAAACCTTCAACTTTTCCTTCTTTTATCCATTGAGAAAAAAAAATAATGGAAAAGGAAGTGGTGAAGTGTGTATTTTCTTGAATTTTCGCATTTTACATCATACATATTTCACACACTAAAACATGGACGGCAGAGCACGCATCTATCAAAAACGTTGCAATTAAACCGAAAGTATCTGCACAAAAGGTCTCTTCATATGCAAATATAATTAAATGCATAATGTCGCGTTTGCAGAGTGGTTCCTAACTCAGAGTAGCTTCAGCAGCGGATGTTGACTTTATTTAAACAACTGCCATGTGTGCTATGCGCGCTATATGAATGCAGTGCTTTTGTTGTTTTACAATGACTTTGATGCAGTAGACGTGAAGTTTTCTGTTGAATTTTCCATGTATATGTAATTGTTTTTTGTTCGAATGAATGTGACGCAGTTTCCCTGAGAATACTCTCGACCTGTTCTTAAGCGATATTCACTTATGAAAATGAGCCTACTTCTCTCGTTGCATGTGCCTGACGACGAATCTATGGTGTCTCGGTGTTTTACTCAAGAATTTTGTCAATGTCATGATGCCAACACAACTGTACATATACAGCATTTAAATTATCAACGGTGAAATTCTTTTTTTATTTCGATTTTTAAATTTTTAATGGAGTATACATTGAAAGAAAACGAAATAAGTGAGCTAATGTACTTGTTTTGAGTAACAAGCACACTGACGACGACAGAAACAGCACACACACACACACCACCACCATCCATTTTGCCACTGTGAGAAAACGAGATGGAAGTGAATCCTGTTATCAAGTGCAAATTAAGCGATAATGCGTGGCAATGGCAAGCGCGTCTGAATGAATGTTTTATGTCTTGAAGCTTCGATGGCATGGCGAAGTGTCTTTTAGTGAATTTAAACGAAATTATCGCTTTAGTCTTAACATATAGTGATAGAACTAATTATGGAAATGTCGTGAGAAAGAAACGGTGCAACGTCGCTTGTGTGAACTGGTGCGAATTTCCTCACTGAAATTGAACGAGTGCTTGCACTCTCATGCCGGAAGATCCGTCAAAATGTTCAACTTATTGATTCACAAAATTCAACGTTGAGGGTGAGAGACACCAAACTTGAGACTCGAACCACGATAGATGCCAGCCACTCGTTTAATACCTTGCAGCGCTTTTTTGTTTGAAACTAAACTACAAGAGGTTGTGCTGTTTAATGCATTTAATTTAATTATTATTCATTGATTTGCATTCGCTTGTGAAAAACGTAATTTTCATGCATCATGAAAGTGGTGGAAACGAAATTACTTGCAATAGGCACAATTCAAATATTCATTCAAGCAAAATGATTTCTTTTGAAATGCTTCAATGAAATTGATGGAGAAATGGACGACGAAGAAATAAATTAATTTATTTAAAAGTCTGTACTCAATCCAGTTTCAGAAATAAGCAGTAGGGTAGAGATGCGTCTACTTTTCAAGAAATGAAATCCGTTCCGAACGCGACCAATTATTTTTTATATCAATCGATTCAGTTTCAAATTCAAAAGCTATAGATAGATTAATTTTTAATGGATTTTTTTTATTTTTTGTCAGAATTAATTTTTAATTAGGTAATATTGCGTATAGAAGAAACAAAAAAATTTCAATAATTAAAAAAGAGATTATAAAAATGAGTTCACATGAAACCAAGCCTAAAAAATAAAATTCAACCAGGGAATTTGGAATTGAAATTGATACTCGTATCAAATCAAACATTTACTCTAAATTTGAAGAATTTATACACACATGACAATAAAATTCAATTACTTGCAGCTATGCCATCCTACTTAACAGAAAAGAATTGAATACAGCATGCCACGTAAATTCCAGGGAGGAGTCTTCTGTAACCGTACGTTTTTAATCAAAAGAAATAAATATAAAACATACCCACCCAAATGTGTACTTTTACAGAAAAAAATGTGCCGACATTTTCATGTGAATGTGAAATTATTACGAATGGTTTCGATTTCGCAATAATAATATTAATCTAAAATAATTACTGAAATACACATTATTGGGTTGCGTTTTGTTTCAAACTTGTGCTGATAGTTCTCTGTAATCTTCATTTACTAGTTGCAATATAGAGAGAAAAAAAGTGGTATTTTTAATTCAATTTTCAACTGCTTCATTACGTTTACCAGCTTTTCGAAACTACAAATGACGCTAGCCCATGTATTTGGTAAATGTAATGAAGCAGTTGGTAAAACTCATTCAATTAATAGTCTCTTTTGAAAAATATGCCTCGGAGATGTCATAAATGGTAAATCGTTGTTGGTTGATTTCATATTAAATGTATCGAAATTGAATTAAAAAAACCACATTTTTTCTCTCTGTGCATCGCATATAATGTGTTTTTCATCACATTTCCACGTAAAAACAAACCACAAAATATTTTTTGTTACAGTTTGCTTACCTGTATAGCAATTACCGCTTCGATTCGTATAAAATGGTATTATTAATTTATTGTGGTTGTTCCAAGGGTATTTCAATAAATAAATTCTATTTTACAAAAGCGTTGTAATAACAATTTCATTTCAATCATTTTCTAAATTAAAACTCATTACAATGAAATCTCATTATTGGGCCACAAAGTGCTGTTCAAAAAATCATTACACATTTTGTTGTTATTTTTGTAAAATCCATTATTTATTATTTATTTCATTTTATTTTCATTTCATTTGACTTGGTTGCATGAATACAAAGTATTTTCATTATAACATTTTTTATAGTATAAAATGAGTTTTCATTAGCAATCAATGATTGTATTGTTCTATCTAACAAATCAAATTGGAATATCATAATGGAATAAGGCAAATGTTTTTTTTGTTGTTGTTGTTTCGTTGTTGGTGCTGTTCAATGGCTGTTGTTGCTATGTCGTCAACAAGCAAATTCAAATTGCATTCTATTGTGAATGTGTGTTTTGTTAGTGGTCTCAGCACCATGCGGTGTACATTGTCGACTTCAACAGATATAAATGACATTTATTCGAGTGCCTGAAACATGCAAACTGCATATAATATTTTACCCAAATCTAGGTTGCATTTGAAACACAAAATAGAAAATGAACTGAAAAAAAATGCCACACCACCGTTAACAAATGCACGAAGCATTTGGAAAATCGAATAGAAAAACACGTTTCACGAACAGCGACCATTTCCTGAATGTTTGCTGCTGATTATCGATCTAGCTAAATAATAATATATTTATAAATTATGTAAAATAAATATGAGTATTGTGTTTCGATCGGCATAATACACAAAATGCCAACAATTTATGAGGAAGAATGGGAAGGCAAGTGGAATAAAAATTGCTCCCCTTATGTATATATACAACAACGGTAATTTTATAGCTATCTGAAAATTGGATCGCTTTTCAAGAGAGTAAACCTAATTACAAATGTTCAGCACGCGCGATTATTCTTTCAATTTACATTTAAATTTTGCAATTACATGCACACGCATGCAATTGCATGTGTTGTTGTCGTTGAAGTTGTCATTAGTTCTATGGCAATGATATTTACGTGTGGATACCAATATATGTCTATGTATAAACGGGTTTGCATAATAATTTTTCCAAATATTTGGTGAGTATTTGCATTTGCACTGCTAAAATTCCCAGCTGTTCAACCATTTCAATTTGAACATTGTTGAATTTGCTTCATTAGCTATTGGACCGGTCATTCCATATGCTAACGGTGAGAATAGCATAAAACTGTACGCCAATAATCCCAATGTGGTGCCGAGCACGGCTTGCTGCATCCATTTCGGCAAACGCTGAATCAAATAATACACCATCGGTCCTGAAAATCATGATTTTGTCATTAATGTTTATCTCTGTGTTTCTCTCTATCTCTATCGCATTTCAACGCTATTCGAAACTCTCTATCTATCTCTATCTCTCTTTCTCTCGTTTTCGTTTTCTCTTTCCCAAAGAGAGAAAGGGAATGAGTGAAAATGCATCTCATTTGTTAAAATGTAGGTATGCTTGTACGCGATATGTTTGGGTAAGCTTCATTACGAAATACACATTTTCATCGTTTGACCTGGCCAAATGTTTACTATGGTGGGAATTGTAAAACATTTTTTTTCGTTAGTTTTTTTTTGATTTATATCGTACCAAAACCGGACCATAAAATGCAACGGAAGGAAATACGAGCGCGTTAGGTCAACAGGAGATTTTCCATGTTTCGAAATTCAATTTGAAAAATTTTCAATTTTTATTTTTATTATTTGGCAGTTTTTGAATGGCCAACTGTCGCCTGAATCAAGTAATAAATCGATGGTCCATACGAGAAAAAAGAGCACATCATTGGCAATGGGAATGAAACCGTTTCCAAACTTCGAATAAACAGCCAGAGAAAAAAAAAACAAAATGACTCTAAAATTCACTTTCTTCGATCGACCACACACGTTTCGAATTTCATTGAAATGAGGGTTGAGAATGGTGAATCGTAAAATTGTTGTCAAAAGTAATGAAAATATCGCATAAATTTTAATCTGATTCAAAATGAACGTTTGCCTGGTCATTTTCATTGTGATGAATTCAGTGTTACTGGAATATCGTATAATATTGAACCACAATAAAAGTGTTTAAACGATGCTCGTTTTGCCCATAAAAACCAATGATTACTTGTTATCAAAGTGCTACAAAAGCACAAAAATGATATAGCTGTTCGGTTGTTGTTCTGTTGCTTTTCCACAAAAGAACAAAGCATATTATAGCTTATTTTTCTTTCATTCGACCGGTGATACGACCAACATCATCATTACCACAGTTGCTGTTATGTTCATAGTCGGGGCTCGTATTCACTTGAATGAGAAGTGGCGCACACAGTTTCACACGAAAAACGAACGAAGGGAAAATAACACGTAAAACATTTAGCATTAGATAACAAGTTACGACATATCATAATATTTCGTCAGTTCAGCAACATTCGCACGCACCGCAAATATGCATGATTACATTACGGTAGTCGGAAATTTCCCTCATTTCATTTTCATATTTATTTATATATATTATTTTTTTGCTGCTTTCGTTTTGTTTCCCATGACGTTCGTCAATTATTTCGTTTATGCTCTTGTGAATTTATTTATATATGAATGTCTTGAGCACAAGCGGAGAATGAATGTGGCGTATGAGAGTTTGGTGCGATTCAGCACCTTTACCTTTCATCAAGTGAGCCGATATTTTTAGTGTTCGTGTTGTGCATATTAAAAAGGGAAAGAGCAACGCAAAAAACGACATATCAAACAACAAGTCCAAAGCCGCAAGGCTGCGAGTAAAGAGCAAAACAGCAACAGAAGAAAACTTAAAGCCCAAACGAACATTGTGGCTTTTTCACCAACTACTTAATATTAATAACAATAAATTAATACACAACACGACATGAAAAATACATATATAAATTGTACGAAGCGAAGAAATTTTGTGCACAAGCTATGTGCACGATAGACAACAACAACAAACCAAGTGACTTAAACTCGAGCTGGAAAAAAAGTGAAAAAAAGACACGACGACAACAAAATCCGGTAAAGTTAACACAAACTGTCAGTGGTTTGAGACATGAACGAACGGGGCATCATGTCGATGGCTTTCGTTTTTGTTTGCCTTTTTCTAGGTGTAGGATTTTGTTGAACATTTTCTTAGCAGTCGATTCAGTCTTCAGTCTATGTGCGTGTTTAAGCATCAACCGAATTTTTTTTTATTTATCTTTGAATGAAGACGATGCTATTTGTCTTCTGCCATAATAAAAAATGAATGAAAATCAAATAGTTAGCATAGGTACGCACATTTGCACGTGCAAAATGCGATGGCGCATTGTTGTGACTGTGTGTCACATCAAATTTATATTAAAACCCATAAATAACATCGACAATTTTTTTTGTTGCGAAGAAGCATCAACCGGTGATAAGAAATCCTTGCTACTTTCAACATTTACGATCTATATATATATTTTCTTTAATATGGTATTTTTCGTGAGCACAAGTATATTGCTCGCCCTTTTTTTCTCTGGTTAAATTTGACGTTTTTACACACATTTGAGCAGAAAACATAAAATATGTATCATCGAAAATGGGAACTAGCAATTGTAGCGTGCAAGCGAACACATTAAGAAAATTGAAGTTAAATCACAGATTCTCACGCAGAGAGTCGAGAGGCAGTATTCGATACTTTCAATTTCCTCTTTTGCTAATTTGAAACAATTTTCATAACTCTTTTACAAAGTGAAAATTTGAAAAGAAAATTTGCATTACACCGCACGTAGTTTCATGGTGATTAACTTTAAGAGATGCGAGATATCGAGAGAAAGAGTGATTTTATTCTTTGGTGTATATTGATTAAAATCTAGTTTGCGTTACCTGTTAGCATTGAGTTGAATATCAGAGCTGGAAAATAGTGATGAAAGTATAGAACTCGACCCATACCTGTAATGATGTACTAGATTAGTATACAATAGACGTGACAGTCTTTTTACAATAAGATTACCCCAAAATGGAACATAGTGCAGCAACCACCCAATGAATAGCCATCCTCCAGCTCTCAATGATTTCCCCGTATATTCTGAAAACGAATGGTTAAACTCATTAAAATCATCTTTATTGCACTGTGAACGAACGAAGATGGCAAATGAACGTGAACGAAACGGTTATAACAAATGCGAAAGAGAGCGAGAGCACATCAACATCAGCATTACCGTAGATAACGAAGATTTAAAAAAAATTGAGCACTTTCTTGGCGTCATGGAATTGCTGCAAATGTTGATGGCCGAATACTGTGTGCGCTCGTTGCATCTAAGCTTCCATTGAGATAAGCTTAATGTGTCTGAAATGACCCGCTTTCAATTTTTTACACATTCATTTCGGTCAGAAGTCAGTGTGAAGAAAAAAGTCGACTATCAAGTGTCCGAACTGTTGAAACTCAACGACGACATCATGGAACCGATTCTTTCAACTTTTATAAACATTTGGCCCATTTGGCAAACCATTCGCTGTTTTGTTTTATCTCTTTTCATCTAACACATTTTGTTTTAAATGAAACAAAAAACATACTCTCGCTCCGTATTTTTTTCTTTCTGGCTTAATACCTCTTCTAAGTTCTAATGCGCGAAAATTAGTCGTTAAAAATTCAAACCGGATTGTGGAACTTATCATTAATTTACAATCTTTTGAGTATCAGCTTAAAATGATGTTAAGGTGCAATTTTTCATTGTCAAACAAGCTCGTGTACGTACAATGTGCACGCAAAACATTCAATGCTTGGAGAAAATGATACAGACACACCAATCTATCTAATTTTCTTTGAAATTCAGGAATTCCTGCCTTGACACATTGACAACGATAAAATTATCAGCATTCACAATAGCATCAACAGCGAGCACAGAATGGTTTTCCGCATGTCATTGAATGTGTATCAGTTGGTTGGAAATTTAAAATAGACAAGACGTGAATCATTCGTTTTCCTTTGGCTTTGTTGCTGTAATTTTCTTTTCGTTGTTCGCTCTTCTTGCAATTTAAGTCGATTCAAAATAGGACGATGAAATTAGAAGAGAGAAAAGTATCGATCGCGTAGCGGCTGAAGAGCATATGATGATGTGTGTTGTAGATGAGCCGTACATAAGGCTTTTGTTTGGCGTTCGATGTGAACGAAAATGATAAAGCCAAATGGGATGTAATAAATTCAATCATTTATTATTGAATGATAAGAGATGAGCTTTCAGCTCACGCATATACCATGTTGTTAGATTAAACGTATAGATAAGCATGTACTTGATTTTTTTTCATCGTCTTTTGCTTTAGTCATTGCGAACGGAAGCAGCGCATCAATCGAAAAACACAAAGCCTCGGAAAATGGTTTGTGTTTCCACCGATGATACTGATTCATCTTCTTAAATTTTATAAACTTGAATTTTTAAACGCGAATTTCCTTTGGTTGTTTAGCGTTTTTTGTGCTTCACCGTACAGCAAAAAAAAACGCGAGCGTCTGTCTTCTTTTTCTTGCTCGGTTTTTTGCTCATTTTGGCATTCTGTTTTCAGTCTTTTTCGCACTGACACACACTTTGTGAATTTGTTTTCGCAGCTGTTTTTCATTTAGCATACGATTTTTTTACATCTCATTCTTTCTTCTCGCGCACAAGCGGTTTTGTATATGTGTGTGTGCGTATATTTTGCTGTAAATTTCAATTTCATGCGAGTGTCAAGAGAATTTATGTGAAAAATTCGCAGCTGAAACAAAATTTTTATTGGCATATTAACGTATAACGTCCTTCTAGCTTAGAAGATAGATTTTTTTTCACCGCCTACATCATTTTCACGCGCGAGGTTTTTTCACACTTTTTCATACGCTTCGATGGATGCTTCTGTTTTATTCAGTTTTTTCCTCTCCATTTCGTTCCCTCTTGCACTTGCCATCATTCCGAATGCCATTTTTCTTCGTTCTCTTCTCCATCATTTTTTTTTCTATCTCTCTATCTACTGTTTTCTGTTACTTTACCATTATTCTCCAAATTATTTTCGTAGCCACGTTGCTGTTTAATGGCCGACACACAAAATACCAGCAAAAATATGACCAAAAATACCAAATTGCTCCACCAGATAATAGGATTGCCAAGCAAGTAGATACGGTAAGCGCTGCCAGAGAAGAATTGACCCTGTTTTCGATGAAACGAAAGTGAAAAAAAAAAAAATGTTTTGAGACTTTTTTTTCCTCCTGTGAGATCCGTTATAATGTGTATTTGAAATGAGAAATGAGCGAGAGAGCATACATTTTCCGTTTAAAAAAACCTTGATGAAAATGTAAATGACCTTCAACCGTCCGTTGTGATTTTGCATTGCGGATGCAACAAACACATGCATATTTCATGTGAATTTGGTCAACATAAAATAGACTTACCCGATAATTAATAGGCCACTGCCATGGCCTTGATGTAACTTCTCCTTCTTTTGGCTTCAAACCGGCGTTTCCTTGAAACATTACAGCATGCGATTCCATAAATCTGGCAAAGAATCCTGGCGCATAAACGCGAAAGCTCACGTTTGGCACTGTGTAATGAAAATGTAACATAACAACAAATAAAAACCACATCAGCATCAAGCATATTGCGCGCGACGTACACAAACAACTACAGTTTTCAATCTTTTATGATTTTGGCATTATTATCATTTAAAATCTAGGTTAATAGACGCAACAGTATGGAAGGGGTTGCAAAAACGGTAGAAAATACCCAATTCGAAGTAAAAAAAGTTTCTTTTGTTGATTTTTCGGAATTGAATCCATCAATGCAAAGAGTGATTGCAATTGCATTTCATCAAGTTTGCATTTATTTGATGCATTTTCATAAAATCAAACAAATCATAGGTGGAGTTTTGCTTTCGCATACGAAACATTCGATTTAATGCGAAACAATTTCAAGTGCTTTTCATTTCAATTGAGAGCAATGATTTTCCATCAATCAAAATGATATTTTTCTGGCTTTACACCTATTAATCATGTGGATGCACTTGATTGAATGACTGCGTTGTATACTATTCAAATCAATAGACTTTTATGAGGTAAAAGCTTTTTTTTCTTCAAAATTCAAATAAATGAAACGAAAATAGAAAAAGAGATACCAGTTCACCAATGGCATAACATTCAATTTGTGGATACATTGGAAAATATGGCAGAGGCTAGGGGCTTTTATCTTCAAATGTATACGATTTAAACTCTAAATAGTGAACTATATTGCAAAATAATCTGTAATACGCGCAAATAAATGTGCATAACTGCATATATTTGGTGTATATTTCGTATATATTTCGTCTATGGCATGTTTTTTTGTTCTCTTTTGTGCGGATCTTCTTCGATTCTGTGTAGCAATACTGTGTGTGTGTGTACACTGAAGTTTGAAATACATCTTATTCACTGGTATAGGCGAGAAATTTTAATCGTATATATGATGAATAGGACGTGAATATTGTGTATAAATTTGTATGAACGAATGATGAAAGCCCCTAGGGCAGAGGGAATCGTATTTGCATTTGATAAATAAAATCGAATGTTCCGGAAGGAATTTGTTCGGGTGTAATGAAGCTTAAAACATAAATTCCACAATCCACAGCATTGTTTGATTCCGATTTGGACTGGCATATATGTCTTCTTTATGTTTAAGTTTGCATGTATGCATATGCTCCTAGTTTTAACAAGGCGATAGTCTGTTACATGCACATTGCCAATTAAAATCGTTGCATTTAACATGATTTTTGAATAGGTTGACAAATTCATAATTTTGAAATGAATTTTGAATATTCTATATTCAATTTTACACAGTAACCAAATTTGGCCACAAACATAGAAGCAAATTGAAAATTTAATGTTCATTCATAATATAAATTTCAAACACAGTCGTACATTGAATAATGAGCGTATGTTAACCATTTGAAATACAAAAGGGCATCAAAAGCCCATACTCAATCGAAAAACACAGTCTTGTTTCGCTCTTCTTTTCTTCTCGAGTCAAAATGTTCAAACTTTCTGTTTTTGATGAAAACTCTTCGTCGGTCATCAAATTTGATCCGAGTGGAACCAAAAAATTCCTTTCAACAAGGTTTGACGAAAAAATTCTTTGGAGTTGCTAGTGTTTTTTTATGGGCGGATAGACCTCGTCATATTCGAGACCGCACTCATTTTTATTTTCGAATTCAAACCAATTTCCCATTTTGAGTTATATTTTATAGATGAACTCTATCATTGAACATTCAGCCATCGGTTTATTAGTAACATACCTTTTTCATAGCTCTCAGTTGAGGGTTAAATGCTTTTAAAATTATTTGAATTCATTCGATGAAAAATCAGAACCTTTTAAATCTGTTATTCAACATATTAGTTTTAGTCTGCTGTATCTATTTTATGAATTATTCCACATGAAAAAATCAAAATCAAACCGCCGTTTTCAATATTCATGCTCTCGTTTATACTCATTATTAATACATATGAATGATTTATGTATTCCCTGTGGTTGAATTCCATTTATCATAAAAAATCATCGATTTTCTTCGATCCATTTAGTTTGTTGGGAGCATTTCAACTTGAATGCGGCTAAAATCAATATTATGTGATTTGAACTGGTTTTCAAGAAATGAAATGTGTTTAGACAGGCAGAAGTACCATCAACTTTAATTTAAAATGTAAACATGAATAACATACAAAATAAAATCGTATCCAAATCGAAATGTACCGAGTTAATACAGTTTTCATTGGATTTAACGTGGAGTTATTGCATGCGCTGAGAAGAACTGAAATCAAATGGAGAAAAAATAATTCGAAATGCCATCAAACAAAAACGCCAATAACATTATTTGATTTCCATCGTTCGGTTCTTCGTTGACATTCGCATGTTTCAAACTGTTTAACTCTATTTTGTGTTCAATCATTGACGGAATCGAAAGGTACTTTTTCGCATTAGGATCGAACAATTTTCATCGATTGAAGTAAACAGACTGTTTACATTTTCATCAACATTTCAACAAAGCAAATCGTTCGATCCTAATGTGCGCATCATTTCGATTACTTTTTCTTACTTGTTTATTTGCTCTTGTATCCGATCCGCACACGTACAATTGAGCGGGTACGATGACATATTGACTTATACTTATATATACACGTAGACAATCCATCTGAACGAGAGACTACATTAGAATATCAGCAATCAATTGTTCATCGTTGGATTGAAGTTCAATTCAGAATACAACTTACACAGAGTGCAAATACCGTACATATTTATAGACAAGTTTCTCTTTCTTTCTTTTTCATTCGACAGTATTAACATTTCGTTTTGTGCCTAGCTTATTCATTTCCCCTGACGCACCGACAAACGAAATCCGGTGATGATTCCGAAATGATAATAGAAGCTGAGGTGAACGTATTTTTTTCGTTCTTTAAAACGGAGTAAATGGGAAAGAAGAGAACCGTTGTCGAAAGATCGTTGTTGTTGATTTTATTGTTCACAACGGTGGAATAAGAAATGAAAGCGTACGTTCAATACGTCAAGTTAAAAGTAGAAAACAGAATTTATACGTACAAGTAAAAACCACATCGAATCGTGCATTTTGAAGCAAGTCGATCGAACGATTCCATCCAAATAAAATATAACCGAACACAAAGTGATGCTGAATTGACAACGGCAAAAATGCAAATTGAATTAGAATGAAATGTGAACGGAGCAGAATTGTGGTAATTCAATGGAAACAGCAGAGGAATGAAAAGAGAAGCGCCGGAAAGAAGAAGAAAAAAGAATCGTTGCTTACCAGATAGCTTTATTTATTGTGCGATTTCATATCATCGCCAATGAATAGTGCGCGCAGTGAAAAGAATGAAAATTGTTCGCGAAAATATGTTTTGTCATTGGGTGAGAGAGATAGCAGAGCGCCTCGAAACTCAATGATGGTGTGCACACAATGGGCCACTGACAAACCTGACGAAAACCAATCATTGAAAGCATTGACACTGAAAATCGAAAATAAGAACTGATAAATTCACAATATTTTCCACTTCCTGTATCTAAAAGCTTCGCAAGCATTTATCTTTCGATGCTCAACACCAACAACAACAACAACGATGACACTTTCGACGAATTCAAACACTTTTCCAGATAAGAAGAAAAACAACATTTATTTCCTGCTTCGTTCTCTTCTTCTCTTGTCATACTTTTTCGTCGATACTTTTTTTGCCCTCATACTCGATGGTGTTTTTCGCTTCGGCTTTATGTTCATGATTATGCTGACGTTTCTTGTAACTTTATTTCATTCTGTTTTTTTTTTCTTCATACGAATTTCAACACTTCTTTATTTGGCCTTTTTTATGTTTATCTTGCAAAGTGTATTTACAATTTGGTGCGTTTCACAGGAATTCGTTGATTAGGACGATTCAGACGATGACACCTTTTTTTATGTATATCGTTATATCACTTACTTTCAAGCGATTGCCATTTTTCTCATTTTAACCCCTTTTTTATGTTGTCGGGTGTCAATGGGCGAATTGAGAGAACCCAATGAAATTACGTCGAACGTTTATTACGTTATTCAAGCGAACGTTTTGCACAACAATCTCAATTGGCTTTTTGGGAATATGTTGCAAACATTTTTGCTCGCCAACCATATCCGAATCCAACGGCAGTGTAAATAGACGCCAGAGATATGCTTGCGTGAGCTAACGACACATTTTTTTCAACACCATTCTATTTAATGGATCGTGTGGCTTCTTTTCATATTCAACTACTTTACCCGTATACACGATGATGTCATTGTATGCGTTGACATTTGAACAGAAGAATAGCTTTGGCAGCAGCAACAAGATTATCGAATCATGACTAAAATGTTTCATAATTTCAGTGTTTTCTTTTCATTTATTTGCCACCGTTGTCATCGTTTACCACAGAAAATATAGAACGATTGTGTGTTCGTGTGAATCAAACGACATTGGAAATTGTCGAAATGGGACGAATAAATTGAATCGTGCTTTTGCTAGCCCATTCATTTGGTTCATCAGCTACATCACAGCCGAACATCGGACACAACATAATGTCTTTGCCATTATGAATTCCATCGCCATAGAAAACTTTTCAAAACAATTTTATCAACAATGCCACTGTTAAGCAACTCACTTGAGAGCAAATTATTTAACATTGTAAATTACCTCTGATAAGACAAATTAGTAGCTGTTGACCTTTTTGTTTTGCGAAACTCTCGCTTTCAACTCTCAAATATACACCGAAATGTGTTGAACTTTTGCGAAATCACCGTATTATCTTCATAGATAATTCAAATGGGATATTTCAGTTTTTATTCAAGAATATGCTAGCTCTCAAAAGATAATTATTAAAGTGAAATGCAACACTGGTTCTCAACAGCTTTTGAGTCTGACAATTTTACACAGATCACAGCTGACAACTGTCCCATGAGATGAATGGAAATGGAGCCATTTCACTCTCTGATTTTAACATTGTGACCGACATTTCCGAAGTGAATATTTCAAGCTAATAAATATAGAAATCGCATTTCTACAACGTTTTACACGGTTTTGGACTTTTTGGTATCGAATAGATAAGCTGAATTTGTTGCATGACGGTGTACTAAATGGCTTAAATGATGATAAGCTAAATTCGATCGATTCGATATAGACACATAATGTCGATAAAGGTAAGCCCGCTGAAGAAGCTATTTTCGTCTTTCGTTGTGGAAAATCGATTGAAAAAAAGGCAAGAAGAGACAGACTTTTGTAAAGGTGTTTTCAAAATATTTCATTGTTAGATAATCTGCCAAGTCTGTCGGTCTGTCTATAAGAATTTTTAATATGAAACGGAACGAACGAAAATGGCGAATATATAAAGTAAATAGTCACTTAAAATCACAGGAAACTTGATTACGAAGTCAGATTTTCTCTATAAAAAAATGAATCGGATGAAAAAAAAAAACTGAAAAAGAATTAAAAACACATGTTTTGCGAGAGTATGTCGGATACATGAAATGCAGACATAGCACCGGATGTTATTGAGTCCTTTGAAGCATATTACCGCAGTTTTTGTTCAATCTTTGTTTTTACGACATCATTTTACAGTCTTCATATTCACATGCATTGGCAATATGTGTGTGTGTGTGTCGGGCGCCCGCTTTTCCCTTTATAGTAAAATTCTACTTAATTGAAAACCACTAAAATGTGAGCATGTAAATGAATGAAGCTGCTCATAAACATTTATTCATCATGTTCATATATTCTGAAAATCCCGAAAAATCGTTTTGGTTTGACTTTAGCGAACAGCGTGGAACACAATTTCATTGCATGTTCTCGTTTTTATGCATGAAAATTTCATTAAGCTGAACATATTCGCCATCGCCGTCATTATAAGTGGTAAGTGGTTGTGCCAATGTTGCGTGCGCTTAAGTGTCATACACGTTCAAGAAACATTAAATTAATCATAAAACACTGGAATGATAATTATTGTTCTGTACAAAAGTCAGGCGGATTGTTTGTCAGATTGAATAAGCGGGAGCTCGGAGGGAATGGGGAGGGAAAAAAATGAACGGATATGAATTTAATATGGCATACTCAAATGTGTATAATTTACATTTTATTGACAGAAAGTGTTTCGTTTTCAATATATTCATTTGAATGGGAAGTGTTTGCGAATTTATCGGAATTAAATAGAACAAGTGAGATGTTGTATCGGTGCTCTGCCATGTGCACATATATCTTATTCACCGAAGTGGTTCTTGACTTACTTTGGGGAATATCAAGTGAGGTGTATTTTTGCTCATTGCGATTCGTTGAATAACTTTTTTTCAAAAGCATCGAACTCTTTAACCCCAATCACAAGAGATTACTTTCTGCTTCAGTATCAAAACTGCTTTATTGTGTCATACAGGGCGAGAGAGAGAGAGAAAAGGGATTTCTTTTATTTCGAACGAAAAGTTTTCGGTGAGTTGTAGATTTTCAAGTTTGACATAAACAAAGCAGCTTTCTTATGCCCTAATCATAAGATTTGAAATTAAAAAGATATGTCGTTTCAATTCTTCTTTCGCCTCTGACGTTTGAATAAACAAAATATCTTTCAATTCAATTGAGAGAAACATTGATTAAATACACGAGAAAGTTTTTGTAAATTGACGATTTGCGTTTTTTTGAAAATCCCTCTTTAAATCTTCTTACTTGCAAAGTACACAAAGAGTCAGCGAAAGTGCTTTCATTGCAGCTCAGTCAGTTTTTCCTACTTTTAAAAGTTGAAAGCGCACTGAAAACTACTTTTCAATTAAATATCGCAATGCATTTTAAATAAATAAAATGCCAAATTGCTGTATTATGTGTACTTTCTTCCATTTTTTCCCCTCTCCCTCTCTCTCTCTCTATCTCTCTCTTACTTTCTCTCTCTCTCTCTTACTCTCCTCTCTACCTATCTATCTCATCGTAAATAAATATCGATTTCGTTCAGAGAAAATGCAGAAAATCGAATTCCTCCTATCATGCACATATCTTTGGCATTTCTTCAATGAAGTTATTCGTTTTTTTTTTTGTTGTTATTATTGAAAAGAGCTTTTGTTTGCAATGCGAACAAAAGCAAAAAAGTTTCAACATTTTCCGATAAGTGGAAGTTTTGTTCGTTCTTCATTCATTTAAAATGATCTCATATTTGAGTTCAACGCATTCTTTTCCCCCATTTCATGTTCTTCGAACTTCGAACATATATGCCCCATCTCGTTTCTATTCAAAATCCATATCTATGTAAATATGCAAGAAAATAAAAATACGTTTCGTTTGACTTGAAATTGATGGAAAACTACGTTTGGTAAAACATATATTTCAAATTCAAACATACATTAATATTGAAATAACAATCATTTGAATTCATATATACGATATTGGCGCAACAATAGCACCAACAACAATTCGACTCATTGAAAAAAGCCCGACGATATCAATCGATAAATATGTGTTATCAACACGGTAAAATCAGGTTGCCGACACATTTTCATGCTTTTGCTGTATCGCTGAAAAGTTGGTTGAAGAACAGCCAAAAAATTCCCAAACATTGGTAGAAGCAGCGAGAAAGTATAAGGTTGGCAAAGAGCAAACAAAAATCAATACATATATCATTTCTTTTCTCTTTTCGTCTGTTTGGAAATAAGTTTAATGTTTACACAAGTTGAGAAAACCAGAAAAATAACAATCCGTTTTGTTTTTCCCAATCCTTTTTTCGTTTGCTCTTTTATTTTTATTTGCAAGTTTTATATATCATGATATTGTAAATTTGGCAACAACTATTTGCACTAAAATGCCATTCCTTGCCGCTTAAATAAATATTATATAGAGTTTTTTTGTTGTTAAATTATTTGATTATGAACAGTTTCTTTTTTGGCTCTTTGTTTCGTTGAAGTTCGTTTTTTTTTTCGATTCGTAGATCGCATTCTATGTTGAAACGGTTGTGAAAGTTTATTAAATCGAATGGCAAATATATTTGCCGAAAAACTACCAGTTTTCCAACAATAAATAATTCATAAGTTATGAAGAACATTGTGCAGTGCCAGCATTGCATATCTGCAACGAAGCGTGAATATTTGAGCATCAGCGACCCCGAAATTCGCACTGATGGTCTATAAATTGATTTTGATGTTTGACATAACTTAAACATCGATTGAAGAATTGATGAAATCAAACAATGTGAAGAAATACGTTGTGTGATACAAGATTTGTGTTTTCAACCCATGCGCCGCCCCTCGAAAAAAATTGATTAAGTTTCAAACATGATTTCAAGTTATTTCTCATGCGATTAGTTTGATTCATTGTGGTTTCAAATCTTGATGTTCAGCGACCAAAAATCGCTTAAACTCACTTTAAAATGCTAAATGATGATGCGATTCGTCGTGGTAATCGAGTCGAAAACTTTCCAGCTTACGTAAAGTGATACGAGAGCGAACGGAGAAAAATAATCGATTCAAGTGGAAAAGTGCTCGACTAGCAATAAATGTAATAACTTAAACTCCATTAATAATTGATTTAAAAAATGAATGGAAATTTTTTGGCTGCGTGTTTGTGTACGCGTACTTAACAAGAATGAGCGAACATTGAATGGATAAAATGTATAGTAAAATGCAGAAGAATCTACTTACATTTATCAAAAGTGTTATCCTCGACATTCCAAAATGCATTCGGATCGCGTATATTTGGATTGCACGAAACTTCTTGCTGTTCATAACCCCATTTTGGTAATTGTTTTCCGCTCGTTGTAAGCGCACAATTTTGTAAATAATGTACGATTAGCAATTTACTGGTTACGGTTAAAACTGGTTCGTTTTCACGACCACCAACGATCATAATTTTCCAAATGTCATTCGCATCGCCGATGCCGTTCTATGTTATTATTATTGTTGTTGTTTGTGTTGTTGTCATCGTTGCCATTGCATCATTGCCGTTGTTGTTGTTATTGTTCAAAAATCCGATTAATGTTTGAAGTCGTTTGTGTTCGGTCCGGTCGAGCGAGGTGAAGAAGAGATGCCACCCCACCATCCACATTCATACCGAACATACAGGATATTACATAAATTTGCAGTCAAATCATAAATCATTCAACGCCACGTACCGATGTTTCAAAATCATTTTGAGGTTTTTCATTGTTCGGCGACGGTTAAATGTGCGGTGAGCACATGAAAAGTTTAGATTTCATCATCGTTGTCGTCGTCGTCGTTTGTTGAATTGAAGTGACGAAGAAGCGCCCGTTCAGCAACATTAACATCAGTTGTCAGAGAAATGCACGGAATCGAGAATCCATTTTATTGTATGGAAATCAAGCATTGGGATAGAGAAAAAAAAGAAACACAAGATAGTGCAGTGAATTGGTGTGGAAAAAGCTGTAATTTCGAATTCTATATTTATATATGTGTATGTGTATGTGTGTGTGAACGTGCGTTTTTCATCCGGATTCCGTCGTGTTGGATTGAAAATTGCTTCTATTATTAAATTCCGGAAGCGGTACAATAAAATTAAGATAAATTAATCATTTGGCAAATTGAAATGCAGATTTTGGCATTGTGTGACGTTTTTCATCCGCTCTCGCGTGTTTTTTTTTTTGGTACACACACATTGGATTCAGGTCAAATGAGATGACGAAGCGAACCATTTTCATGGAGTGAATTGTAGCAAAATGTATAGATTTTAAATTCGAATACATACAATCCACGCTCTATTGGTTTGATCACACCGACATATTTTTGCCGAGTTTTTAGTGTCAATGGAGAAAAAAAATGCGATGCAAAACCGAGAGAGAAAAAGTTGACGATGTAAAAAATATCTATTGAAATTCGTTTGGATGGAAAAGTTTTTTTTTCAGCTTATTATTGGTTTGCTACTTGAATGAACATCTATTTGATGTGAATGAAGGCAATTTGAGTGAACGGAAAAACCGGCGACGTTTTTTTCTTTAACCACTGCTCGATGGTTGCGTGATGAGGGATCAAATGCCCCGGAAATCGATTGGGAAAGAAAAAGTTCATTTTGATCAAATCGGTGGGTAGGTCGCAATTTCATCCGATAAAAAAGTAACTTAATGGTTGAAAGTGGCAATCATATATCTTGTCAAATCGAGGAACGAGAAAAAAAAGAAGATAAACAAAAAAAACACGTTGATGGTGCATCGCAGGTCTCCGCATCAGTATTTAAATGTCGATTTTTCTTTGTCAATTTTAAATGGAAGTGACAGATACAAAACGAAAATTTATCGCACCAATTTCGCATTTGTAATGAATTTGATAATGTTCGGTTGAAGTGTCGTCTGAAAAATGCCATTTTCCATCATAATTTCAAGCCAATGCATTTCGTCCAGGCAACTATATCAAATTTATAATCGCATTTCACTGAATAATCAATGTTTCGAAAGGAAAAATCTATATATGTAACTGATGCCACACAATCATTCGTTACATATTTGGCATTTTTTTCACGTGTCCATTTTCAAATTGTACATCAACACAACGCTTGTTACCACACTGAACTGCGAGTATCTGCCAATTTACGATTCGCCATTTACACCATTTTTCCATCGTGGGTATGTTTGTGTGATGGTTGACTTTGGAGCTTGCCGTTCATCAGACAATTTTTGGCGATTCCGTGAAAATACGCAGTCAAGCCACAAAAACCCAAAATCGATGATGCAAATCATTTGATGTTAAATTAGGTATGCACATCGGATAAAACGTGCAATGTTTTTTACCTTTCGAAATCCCAAATGTGAACTGCCACACACACACATTTAAAAAGAATTGAAGAGAGTGGGATGGGGGGGAAAAGAGTCAAAATGAATAAATTACGATCATTTACCTCTCCATATCCAGTGACTTGATAGTGTTTTTTTGTTAGCGGCGCTTGTTCACGATGCGAATGCAAATTGCGTTTCGTTTGAATGTGCTCCAATCGAATTAGATCGCCATGTTTAACAAGCACTACATCCTTTTCATTCGATTTAATCTCTTCGTTGTATGGTTTTATCAGCCATTTGTTGTTTTCGTCTTTGTGCGTGTACGTCGTTATCTGAGTCGTTCGTGCATTTATGTGATCGAAACGCCAAAAGTGTCGGCAGACAAGTCAAATGTGAAAAGAGGCCAAAATGGTTGTGGCGATGTGATGGGATGAGCGTGAAAAAAATAGAATTAAAGTAGATAAAAGTAAAATTACATTAAAAAGCGACCTAAAGAAAAAGAAAATCCTAGAATTGAATCGAATGGCAAATGAAATATTTGTCTGAAGTTTATTGCTTTTTTGTTCTTTCGCACGTGTTCTACGTGGGATTTCTTTGTCTATATTGTCTGTGATGAAGTGAAACTCTTAAGTGTACAAAGTGCAAATCACAAAAAGATGTTTCACATTTCACAAGGCACAAGAAAAAGCTAAAACTCGCTGAAATTGGATCGCTTCGTTGAATTGCACGGTTTCAACGAAGTGCGAATTCTTAGAAAATTAAAATTTTTGACGGCAGTCAATGACAAGCATATACACGCTTATTTCATTGTTGCCATTCGAAACGAAACAAAAAAATAAATTTAGACATTTTTGAATTTTTACCTGTTGTTGCCGAGAGCCAGCTCCTTTTGGGTAGAGGTGATAATGCGAATGTAAATATCCTCCGCCCGTTTTGTAATTTTTCAATGTTAAAACTGCACCGTACGCCAGTTGCCTTGGCATTGTTGCGTTATGCAAAGAATTTCCAATTAGTTGTGATTGAAATGCTGAGCTATAGAAGCCATCACCGTTACCGCTGTGATTTAGCACCTCCAAATGAACGTAGAAAAAGCACATATACAAAATGATTGGCCATACGATGAGTGTCACGGCGCGGCCAACAAATTGTTTCGCTATTTCAACCTGTACGTTTCCATGGGAAAAAGTTGAATTAACTTTTACGCGAACTCAAACAGTTGCAAAAAAAAAAGAATAAAATGTACGAAAAAGATGAGCAACAAAAAAAATCACGAACATCCTTCAAATTTAATTTATTTCCCGGATTCGCATTTTTTTCTGTTTCCGAAAGGTATTTCAAATTGAAATGGAAACAAGCCATTTTACGACAGTTGATGGCAAAATGTTAAATATTTTGTCATGGGAATTCAAATTAAATTCAACTTGATTTTTCGGTCAACAATGTGTGGCCGTGCATGTAAATTCGCCAATTTTGGTATGACACCACACGTGTCACCCTTTGTAAAACGATGCAGAAAGAAAAATAAAAAATAAAAAAATTAAATTACTCACAACTGGTTTGGTTAAATCGCCTAATTCAATCCACAAATCATTGATTGTATGTATACCGACCAATAAAATCACGAACAGACCAACAAATTTAACGCTGATGGTACAGGCGATCATGGTGCCAGTGAACAAAAGCCAAATCCACCATTTAAATGTAAATGTTTGACGATTATGTGTTGCTTTCGACACTTTAACCATGCCCATAATGGATGCCGTCATAAAACACAGCAAAATCGGATCCAATAAAATATATTGATTTAAAGTCACCATTCCAACATCAAACAGCACGTAGCAGCTTGAAATAAGTGCTCCAACATCCGATTCAATGAGGTCGAACACGGTCACATGCACCATTGGTACGATTAAGGCGCCCAATGCGGTACAAAACTGAAATATGTATAATATTATATTAAATCACGTCAGAGAAATTGTTAGAATATTGCACGCAGTTTGAATCGAACGGCTTCGAAATTAATTAGTTTTCTCATCGTAGTCGTTGTTTTTTTGCTCTCTTTTACATGCTCGTTTAAATCTATTTGTTTGTTCACCAAGCATGGTTAAATTTGCGCGCAGGCAGAAAATCGTTAAAATAAGACTAAAAAAATATTTATTTTACGTCACTCTTAGTTTGCAGTTTGAATTGAAAGCGAAATGCACGAGTTGAACAGGAAAAAAAATTCAATTAAAATCAGACAAACACACAAAATAGCAATTAAGAACATCAAACATTTACCAGTCTCATTCCTTCGTAAGCAGTCCCATTATATTTATCTCCAGGTTTTTCGAACGGATACGTTCCATTGTAGCCACTCATTACACCAGATAACGCTATCAACATCTAAAATAGAGTGCAAACGAAAAAAAGTTGTATATGTCCGTCATAAACATCAGAACCAAAGAAATAAGTTGTTTTGTATGTATGTGTAGAAAATGTGCGAGACATCTACTTCGCTGCACTTAATGAAAATGATGTTGTTTGGAATTTTCGTCGAAATAACGGACATTTAATGTGCGTTGAGCGTTGATCGCGCTGTTTTTTTGTTTGTTGATTTACTTCGCTAAAATAATGTACAACACACACACACCTTTCCCAAAGGTGGATGCACGTCAAAGAAGAACGTTCGGTTTATATACCAACTTCCCATTTTGCCGAAATGTGTCTCGTCCCAACTGCCAACAGCCAAGCATAATTCCGAAAATAGAAAGAAAATAAGAAAATTGCAATGAGAAGAAAACAAAATCATTTTCATTAACCTCGTTTTTATCTCTCTGTGTCTCACTCGAATAAAGCATGATATTCATTCGAAAGGCTGCCATTCATTTGATTCATGTGAATGTATTTATTGAAAAATCTTTTGCAATATTTGAATAAATCAGATTTTATCAAAGATTAAAGGATATCTCCGACTTATTCAAATTGCTTTCGGAATCATTTTTCGATTGAAATTTACATCTTTCATTCGATAACAACTCACTCGAGACATACCATTCAAATCCCAAAACACTGATTCCTACAAAAAAACATTCCTCTGACTTACCAAACATGATCGGGTTCAGTGACTTTATAAAATCGTGTTGCTAACGTAAGTAGAACGATTCCAAAGAACAGATACCAATCCCTGCATTCATCAAACAAAATCATTTCAATTAATTTCAATGATCACTTCAACGACGAACCAAACTTACATTCCAGCATTATTTTTACTGCCACTATCAGTACAGCTGGCAATATTTTTCTTACTAATTGCTTTTTTTGTCATATTTGAAATACTTTTTTTGATTAGATCAGCAAAATAAGAACATTGTTTTGGTTGTTTTTTAAAAATAAATTTAAATAAATATGTGCTTGAACTTATAAAAAACAAACAAAAAATATACTTCTTGTAAAACACAACTTAATATAAATAGTAAATAAACTATCAACAATTGTCAAATTAAAATGAAACAGAAGAAAGTTATCAAATTGTAAACAAAAAAAGAAATGAAATTCCGACGATATTGCTACGTATGTAGTTTGACACTGAATGTTGAAATTGGGTGATTTGTTATTAATGTGCGTTGTAACTCTTGACACACATGCACTCATACACGTACATTTTCACATATCGCGACGGTTGCCGCTATAAAGCGAGTGCTGTCAAATGTAAAAGAACTATCAAAAGAAAGGTAAAAAAAGCAACAACACTTGTCATTGTGCGAACAGGTAAGAAGTCATCGGCATACATGAGTGAGACCAGTGCACCGCTTACATGATATCAATTTTCCATGACCGAAACATTTGGTGCCTTATTTTTCTGCTTTTTATTGACATTTTTCTTCCAAAATCCTCATCAATATTGTGGATTGCAGACGAATTTGGTAAACAATACCAAAAATCTTCTTCAGTTGTGTTGAGCCACTCTCGAAAATCTCGAATGGGCCATCTATTGATGGTTGTTGAAACTAGTCACTTCAAGTGGAGTACACCTCAAAATCAAACTTCGTCAAATTGGATGGAGTCGCCGAAGAAGCATGTGTGCGACCGTTGCCTAGGAACGTATATCCAGAGTGCAATGTGTTTGTGACGCCGACAATTTTGTTTTCGCACGTGGTACACCATGGACGTGGAAAGTGAAGTAATTAAGTCAATTAACGATGAATTGAACGAAAGGGCCGGCAGCAAAGAAAGCGGTCATAGTGACGATAATGAGTTAATCCTTGAGGATGGAATTGAGTTAACACAAGAAATCGGAAGGATTTCGTTGGAATTTGCTGATGCCGATGCTGAAAAATATAGTGCATATCCAAGTTCATACTACACATTCAGTGCAAAAGAGCGACTACTTTTGATTTTTACGGAAAATTTTCGACGCCAATTCAAGTATACTCACCCAGAACGTAAACCACTTGTATTGGCCATTCCCAATGAATGTGGCATTCAGAAGTTCGTATCGACCACCGTACGACCGACTTCGTTCCTCTTTTATGAGTTCATCGATTGCTGGGATGGGCCAGCACGCTTTGTATCCGACTTCATTGCCTATGAACCTTTGGAAAATCCGTTTGAAATTGTAAGTAAAAAATGAGCATCTTTTTTTTTATTCGGGAAAGATTTTATTAAATTCATTTTCATTTTTTTTTTATACATTTATAACATAATTTGTTTTTGTCAATTATCCATTGCAGTTTACTTTTCTTCAATTTTTGAATTAAGTTAATGATTAGGTTTTTGTTGTTGTGTGTTTTTTTTTTTGTATTTATTTTTCTATTCATTTTGAAATTATGCATTAGAAGAGATCACAATAAGATTAAAATTGAGTAATTCTAATTTTAAATACGATTCCATTGTTTCTGTGTGTAATAATGTTTGTCTCATTTATTCGTCTCATGTTTGTTTCGTCGAAAAAACGTTAAACTGGGCGAAAAAAACATAACGAAATGGATTGAACCAATTGAGCGTTTCGTTAAATTATTATTCAAGTTGCACGACGCATGGAAACTGCTTCAAATTAATAATAATAAAACAAAAATAAAATTAACTAAAATATTGATGTGAAATGCCAGTTCGAATGCGGCTACTTCACGCTTTGAATACATTCGCGATGATATATTTAACTCATGAGTATTTACAACAGAAAAGAAAATATATGTATTTATATATCAAATTAATTACAATATATATTATTTAGTTATTAAGAACGTAAAAATTTGTCTAAAATAATTTGTGTGATGTAGTTGCAGCAATTGGTATGTTCGTTTTTTTCTCTCTCTTGATTCGACATCCATTTTTATATACAAAGATCGATGCGAATGATTTAACAAAAATGTAATACGACGTTGACTGCGGTTTGTGTTTCTGTGTATATGTGAACAAAGTACTGTCTAGTGAAGCATTGCTACGTATTTTCGGGATGATTTTCTCTGTCTCTGGCTCTTCACAATTTTTGTTTAGAAGAAAATTTATTACGTATATGTGTTTCTTCATTGATTTTTTTCTCTCAATGACAATTGCTCTACTTTATTTATATTTATTCCACCTAAGAATTGTTTTCTTTTTTCCTTAAAACACTGAATTACGTTTGACTCATTTTTATCGCTAATATGAATGGAATTGAATATATAGTCGAAGGAGATGAGCAAAGAACATGAACAAATGTTGTGATTCTTTTTTTCCATCTTTTTCGATTTAGTGAATGCATCAACTCGCTCAAATATTGATTTGTGTTTGCTTTCATTTTATTTGTTATAATTTTTTTTTTTTGTTTAAACGTGTACAATAGATTTCAAAATAAATTGTTCAATTTTCTTCCATGTCCAAATGTGGCGCATGGGCTTATTTACAAGAATTGATATAAAATACTGTGAATTTTTACGTATATATTTCCCATATTAGTGTTTTTCTATGCGGAATGTGCTAAAGATGATTTTTTTTTTTCTCATTTTTTTCTCATTTTATTTACAAAATATTTTAATGATTTTTGACTTCATAAAACTCTTCTCCACAATACTAATTAAACAATTTTGCAAAAAAAAATCTTTTTTAAAAAATTGTATGATATTCTTGAAAATGCTTATCATTGAACATGAAATAATTTTTTTGTTGTTTTTTTTTTTTGTTGTTAATTTCGTTTTATCGTGATTGGTTAAATTACATATTTGCTATTACGTATTTGGTTATCATCAAGTGTATTGTGGCATGTGTGTGTGTGTTCAAATATCTATATATCATGTTTGTATTCGTACATTTTCTCTACATTTAGCACATATCGAAATCAAAAATGGGGAAAAAATCCATTGCAGCAAATAAATTTGACGAAGTGTTTGTTAATTCTTGATTGATTTACGTTCGGTAAAGTTTTAACTTCTTTTTCATCTTTGTCTCATTCGAATTCTCTTTCATATTCTCATTGATAATTATGATTATAATAAATACTTTACAGCATTTTTCCTTTATCATTCAATACAATATATTTAATAACATACATGTATGTTTCGAATAAAATGTGTGTATGTGTGTGCTATTTTGTGTGCGACACACGGGCGCGCAATAAATATAACGCTGAGCTAAATTGTTTTTTTTTGTTGTGTAATTTTTGTTTTTTCTTCTTCTTTTTTTTTAAATACCATGGTGCTTAATTCAAAAAATCAACTAAAAATGCATGGTGGCTGTCATCGTCGTCATCGTCGTTGTAAATTGTTTGTGTGTCATCGTCGTATGGGTAAAGACTCTTGAAACTGCACCAATGCCAGTCAATATCAATGCTGCTATCATTTTTGTTGTTGTTGTTGTTGCTGCTACTACTTTCATCCTGTATGGTATTCATTGTAACGTAGTGAAGGGCTTGTTTTGGTTGCTCCTATTTTCGTTTGCGTATACGAATTCGTTGCTCTTGGTCCGATGTAGCGGTTGTCGTACCATTTTCGTTTGACATTCGTATAGCACTTGATTTGATGCTGTTTAATAATGTTTTGAATTGCATTACCTGAATGGCGGTAATGGTTGGATCGCTGCACGATTCGAGCCACTTCAAAAATTGTTCACCGTGTTCGATGGCCTCGAATGGGCTATTTGCCCGGGCTCTATCATCATCACCATTTTGTGTATCAATTGCCATCGCCTCATCGATATCGTCTTTGACATTTGTGTTGTCCTTTGTGTTATTGTTGTTATTTGCGGCCGATGCTTTACACAGCAAATCATCTAAAATATCGCGTACATTTGCCGATGATGTGTTTGATAACAGACTTGAGCATACTTTATCAGCATCATTCATTAGCATGTTTTTCACATTAATAATGCCAACTTTACAATCGGCTACATCGAGTGGCGATGATGATTCGGCTGTACGATTATTTTCGGGTGAACCATCGCCCGGTTCCGATTTTACCTTCAACGAACTGGTCGGTGTGCTGCGATCATTATTCGATGGTGAACATTTTGGCTGTGATAAATCTTCGGGTTTTCCATTGTTACCCTCTTTGTTGTCATTGTTGTTCATCGAATCCGATGGGCTCGGTGTCGACGATGATGATGCTTGTTTTGTTAATGTTGAATATAAGATATTTTCATAGATTGACGGTGTTGGTTTAACATCGTTTCCATTTTCAGCATTTTTATGCGATTCACCATTACTTTCGGCACCAACACTTGCACCGGCTGCAGCGGCCGCCATTTTTGTTAATAACGAATTACCGAATGTATTGTACAATTGCAAGAACCAATCTGAAGCTTGTGGATTGTCAGCGAATGGTGGTTTTGTTGATGATGTGTATGGTGTGTTCATTGCTGGTGGCGGGGATGTGGTTGATGTTGGAATATTCGATAGATTTGGGCGTTGATTGCCACCATTCTGATTCATTGGTGACATATGGCTTGGACTTGCACCGGCCCCATACAAACTATTTAAATTGGCCATATTTTGTTGTTGCTGTTGTTTAATCCAGTATGAGAGTGGATTATCATCCAATTCACGTCCGGTTGCTGTGTTTGCTTTCTTTAATTTACTCAACATATCAAATTCTTCGGGTGCATTTTTTTGGAGTTTGGCTAAATTTTTAACGGTTAGTCCTTGTGACTTTTCGCTATCGTTGCGTGGACTTAAGCTTGAGCTTGGTTTTGGTCGTACGTTGCGTAAATTGCTGGAACTTGAACCATTTCCAAGTGGACTATTTGCAAGCGGTGACATACCAGCCAGTGAATTTAAATTGGCACTGTTGAAATGTGCAAATAGACTCAAATTTGATGCGATATCGTTGAAGCTTAATGCTTGTGGATTTTGCATGAAATGTGTTAGACTTGACAATGGACTGATTGCTGACATCGATAAATCGGCTTTTGTTGGATCGGTTGGTTTTGAAAAATCACCACCATATCCTTTGTAACCGTTTGCCGATTTCGGCGATGAAAAATCATTGACCGATTTGTATGCATTGAAATCATTGTGTGACAAACCATTGAAGCCAAGACTGGCCATATCCAAACCACCGAGCGAATTGCGACCATTTGAAAAATCTTCGTATTTCAATTTACCATTCATGCCATTTGAACCAAAATTCATTGGCAAAGATGTGTCCAATTTTGAGCGTTTATTTTGTGGTGTGCCCAATAGGCTATTGATTGCTTCGCCGGCCAGTTTTTCATTTAGTTTATCCAAGCTGAGTTTATTATCCAATGGCTGTGATTGACGTGACATATTACGAAGTTTCTCTTCATTTTTACACCAACCACGCAACGTTGACTCTGGCACACCGATATCACGAGCCACAGACGCCTTTGATTCACCATCGTGAATACGTTGAATTGCATCGATTTTATCGCTGGCCGTTAAGTGACGCAACGGACGCTTCCCTTTGTTGCCTGACATTGCAACGGCATTACTAAAGGGAAAAAAGAAGAAGAAAAAAAATTAGAAAAATTACAAAAAAATTGCCAGTCACTGACAATGTAAATGGTTTGCAACAGAAAACTGTCACTTTAATCATTCCAACAAAGCGAATGTCGATTTTATGAGTGTTGTTGTATATTGCGGCGCATTCAACAGGTCTTTCCGACGATGGTAGAAAAGAAATTTATTGTCGGTTAAGTTAAAGTGTGTTTACTTCTTAATAATAAGTTATGGTCAAAAGCGAGAATAAGAAAACTCCAATAAAAGTGATGCAACCCCATGTATACACACAGAGAGTGAGCGCGCACAAACCGTTCTTCTGTTGAAGCGATTAAGTGTCTTTATAAATCTCTTATGGTTTTGTATGTCTCATTCGATGGAGCTCATGGGGCGAGAGAAAGTGTGAAAAGGATCTCAGTGATATTCGATGATGGAATGGAAAATGAAAACACGAATTAATCGTATATATACATCTATAACATGTGCGCATAAACGAGCTACCCTACTGTAAAACCAAAGCCAAAAGGCGAGCCAATAAATAAACTAAAACCAACTAAATAAAAATATTTTATGTATTTTATGTATAATGCACAGAGCTATACATAAACACAGAAAGTGAGAAAGAGACGTTCGGCGATAATGTGATTTAATGTGTCTGCGCTTCGTTTGTGCTTCTTTATGAGTCTATATTATACTAAATATGTTTGCTGTGAACTTTTGTACAATTCGAAACGTGAACATAATCACAATGTTGATAGGACTTTCATGAAACGAAGAGTGGAGAGACAGAAGCCGGCGGATGGTCCAACATAAAGTAGTAAGAAAATGAAGCGAAAAAAAATATATATGAAATAGACGGTATAGAAGCTTGCTTTTCGGTAAACTTGGAAATGTACAGTAGCATTAGCTGTGGCAGTGTAGTACCGCATCCAAACTGACTGAACAATCGTATGGCTTCTCTGTCGGGCATGGAAACGAGAAAAATTCACAATGTATTGGCAGTGTTCGGGACATTTTATCCCTTTACGCTGAACTGCTGTGTGCAAATGTGTACAATTTTTCCATCATTTCCTCGTCTAAAATTTCGCACACTGTGTATACACACGAAACATGCACATTTTCGTATTTCTCTTTTTCCCTTTATTACAGCAGCATATTTGAGCACTTTTTTTTCCGCTTTCTCTATTGTACACTGCTCGATTGGTGCAGATGTTTTTCCATTCTATATAATTGCGTATAAAATGAATAGATCGTCGAAATGGAATAAAAAGCACGTGGCTTTGTTTACAGCCGACGGTGTTTCGACAGCCGAGAATATTGTTAGAGTGTATGTGTGTTTGAATTCGTGTCAGCACGAAAGGGTGGCTGCAGCCCATTATACAAAGCGCTACACAAAAGTGGAAAATTGCAAACAATAGAGTCAAAGAGCCATTCATGGAAATGAATGAAAAAAAAATGCATGTTACATAATCCTCTAATGAGCAAGAAGAAAAAATTGTGTCCAAAAAAAGTTCCACAAGCACGTTGACCAAGTAGCAGACAGACGACAAATAAAATGCTCGACATTTCATTTATCAAGTGATAAAATTACAGTCAACGATGTCGTAAATCTAGTACTTATCAGTCAACTTTATAATATTTTTTACGTGAAAATGTAATGTTTTACACATAATATCAAGTGTATTTGCGATTCATAAATTATTTAAACAGATTTATTCGAGCAAAGACGTGCTGCCAAAGAAATACACACCGCAACAAGCCATTGATCTTGTGATAAATGAACGAATAGACATTTTGGGTTTTATTGATATTTTATTGCGTTGTCGATTAAGTAAGCAGACTGCGAAATAAAACGGTCAATGATTCTCAATATATACACACAGAGAGAAACGCAACGCACACAATGTATAATCGAGTGTATGAGAGAAAACTTGTAAAAGAGTGAGCCTATAAAATATAAAAACAAAAATGCCAAAAATAAAATCGTCGGTTTGAATAGAAGAAATTGCGGAAAGGAGCATATCGTAGGTCAATGCTACCGAATATTTATTTCCTTTGCCGAAATCTCGCAATTTTATTTATGGTTCTGAATGGGGACTTGCACATAAATTATTACTTGTGTGTATCTTTGTATTTATGTATGTATATATTTCGAAAAGTGCCGAATTGGAAATGGCAATGGAAAAGGAAACGACGATGAAGTCTGAGTCTGAGTTGGAGAGAGAGTCTGTGAGACAGATGATGGTGCCGCATAATAACATTGTCTCAATACACACGTATCATTTAATGTGTGCTTTTGCTCCAGATTTATCAAGGCAAAAGCTTGTCTTTTCTTAATATGTATACATATTAGTATATAGTTTTTATATCGTTGAGCGTAGACTCTTACACACAACTTTTATCCATGTGCTAAGTTTTCTTTTCTCTGTCCCATACATAATGTCTTCTTTTCAATATCAACACCCGACCGAAGACACTGGCACCATGAACCGACGACTTTCCTTGAACATCGAAATAGATAGTGAAATAGAGCGGCGGGAGGGAGCGAGAGAGAGAGAGGGTGGAAAAAATTATAACTTTTAATTTATAGGTCTCATCAAAAACTACATAAAAGCACCCCGGTATATAATCTCGATAGACGAATATGAGACTCGGTTTGTATGCTATTGCATGCTTACTGACCAACCGACAGACCAAATCCAAAATGAAACTAGACTATATCACAACAAAAATAAATAAAGATTTCTCACACTCTTCCAGTTATTCGGTTTCGTTTCGTTCGGTTCGGTGTAGTGCAGTGTGTATGGATGCCGGTCGTTTTTCGATCTCTGCATACGAATCTCCCGACGTTTTTTTTTCTCTTTCTCTTTATCATAGCATTCATTATCAGTAAATAAATCCATATGATTTTTGACCTACAATTACGGTTATGTAGACGCTTTGTATATACATGAACAAAAAAAAAGTTCACTTCTATCCATGTGATTTTTTCTATGTTTTTTCTATCTTTCTCTCTGTGCTCTGGCCCTGTGTTTGGTTTTCATTCATTTTCATTTAACACATTGTTATTAATGCTACGGTCGGCTAAATGTTTTGCTACTCTTGTTTTTCTCTTATTATTTTTTTGCTCGTGTGTATACATTTCTCCACACCACATCATTCGATGATTTTGTTTGGATCGTTGTTGGGGTTGTTGTGTGTTTGCATTTATCTGGCATAGAGTCATTGCATTTGGGTAATGAACGTCATACATTACCACTCTCTATCACTCTCTCTTACTCTCATCGAGTTGATGACGCTGATGGGCAGCGTTGATGTTCATATAATCCTGTAGCGCATATTCTCTTTTTTTTCGTTCGTGGTTCAGTTCAACACAAAACAACTATAAATGCAAATGAAATTCTTCCACCTAAAACGTTCATGTGCCATGAGCATGTGAACAAGTGGCTGCATGATTTCAATGAAAAATTGCATTTGCAAAGAAAAAAACCAGGCAAAATACAAAGATCCATGTTGTGAATATTTTTACTCCACATCAAGCGGCTGGCAGTAATTTTGCATTCAAACTGGTGTGCCGCCGCACATTGTCTCTTGCAAAAAAGAGATGGACGTGCGCTTCAGTCAGTTGATTTTCTCGGCCAGTCTTTTTTTGCATTGCAAATGTGTGTTGAGTGCTTTTAATGCATACAGAATTGAAAACAGCGGGTTTGTGGGTGATTATGACATCAGTTAGATGACATTAGTAGACACATATTTCATGGATTACTCTCATCTGTTGTGAGCTCTTTTACATGCTATCGCTCGTGTACATTTACAATAAACATTTTGGCCACAGATGAGGCAAAAAAATGACTTTTTCCGATGATTTAGTTTGACGAAAAAAAATTTCTCTTTCTCTCTTCGGTGTCTTTTTTTTATTGAATTCGCCTGTTGTCTTGCAGCGATCATCTGATATGCATCTCTTTTTTTTTTTTGGTCTGTTGCGTTTCAAGCGTCGGGTAATTTTAACTATGGCATCGAATTTCGTGCGAGCCAAGGGAATGTCGTGAGAAACGCAAAAGTTCTTATGGTCACTGAACTGAACTGGTAACAGCAGAATCAGCGATACGAAAGAAAAAAAAATTGTAAAAAAGTTACGCGTCAAATGAATGCGCGCACAGTTAGATAAGCATCTTGCACTAAATTGCATTTTGAAAATTCAATGAATAATATTTTTGTGTATGTGTTCGCTTTGCCGTTCGTATTTGGCATACAAATAAGAGTGTAAATGCATTTCCCCTTGCACAACGTGCTAAATCGGTTCACCTCATTCCATTATGCTCTACAAACACACGGTTTGCCATTGATTCCCTAGTTCAGCGTTTTTTTTTATTGCGTTTTTCTGTGCGACACACAATTCACTGTTTGCATGTCCATGATCGCTTCCTTGCATTTTGTTGTAATTTGCTAACGATGAAAATCTGCGTTCGCTTACATCGAACCTAGTTTCTATTTTGGCTTGCAAACACTCACTCTTCCTGCCTGAGTGCATGCACATAGAACTGAATTTTACCCGTGGTTGGATTACACAGAGACTATTTATTGAGTGTTATGTTTCGTTTATTCAACTGCATGAGTTTCGCATTCGGGTGCATGGTACGATTAATTTTTTTCCGTTTTCGCACGGACGTCATTTGTGTATGTGTGTGTTTTTTTTTTTTCCTGTCGCCCATGAACGAAACTTTTACTTTCGGTAGACATTGCGTAAATATAGTTTTTTTCGTATACGCTCGTTTTTTGTTCGAATCAAGGCAGGCGTCTACACTGGGAATTTGATTTCAGATTTTGCCGGCAAATATCAGCAACGAATAAAAAAAATAATTCAATGAAATGTAAATTGATTCGTAATTGCTTGCCACATGAAATGGCTTTGAGGACTGTAGATGAAACAAAAAGTGGTGAAATCACACGAACTCTTACTTTGACACGTTTTCACGGCGATAAGTACCGTTT